CCTCCCACCGCTTCCATTGAGCATAAACTCCGCCCTCCAGCTGTCAGTCACAGCCGCCACAAGACCCATTAGTCAATGAAATCGAGGGCTCCTCCCCCGTCAAGCCCCGCCCCACCACCGCTCCACTCGAGTTCCATTGAGTGCAGAGCCCGGCCCCCCCGGCTGTCCCTCACAGCTAGCTCAGCTCCCCATTGGCCGCTGAGGCCTAAAGTCCCACCCCCTGGCTGTCAGTCAGGGCTTCCAGCAGCACCGATTGGTTGGTGAACCCCAAGCCCCGCCCTCCCCTCCCAGCACAGTCCCATAAATTGCAGGTTCCCACCCACTCCTGCTGTCACTCACAGCCTCCACCAGCTCCCGTTGGTCAGTGAGGCTGGAGCCCCACCCCACCAGGCAGGCCCCACCCCTGGCTGTCAGTCATGGCCACCACAGTCCCCATCAGCTGGTGAGGATCAGAGCCCCTCCCCCCGGGGGTGCATGACATCATGACCGGTCAGACATCGGTCTGACGTCACTGGTGACATCAGCAGCACAGGGGCCACACTGGGGATCCAGCAGCCTCCAGGTCCTCCCTGGGCCCCCCAGGGTCCCTAAGTGGGGCTGGGAGGGCACAACCTGACCCCCCACCCTGGGGATGTGTGACACAAGGGCAGAGCTGCAGCATCCAGATCCTGTGGGGGCCTGCTGAGGGACTTCCAAGGACCACCCAGGATCTCTTGAGAACCTCTGGGGAACTCAAGGGACCCACTGGGGACCTTATGGGAACCTTCATGGACTTATTGAGGCCTCCTGGGATCTCATGAGAACCTTCGGGGACTCCCAGGGGTGTTGTGGAGCCTCCCAGGTGCCCTCAGAGGTGCCAGGGCAGGACCAGCCCCCAGGGCTCCACCAGTGTCCCCAGGAGGCTCCCGCCCAATGGGGTGTCACCCCTGGGGCAGGTGATGCCTCTCAAGGATGTGTCCAGCTGTGCCTCTCCCATGTGAACAGAGAGACCGCCACAGGGGCATCTGGGGGGACACTTGTGTGTGGGAGGGCTAAGAGGGTAACCCATTTCCCCCTGGGGTCTTTTGGGGTGGGTGATGCCCCAGGCTGGGCAGGGAGGCCAATAGTAATGGTACCCCTGAGTCAGGCCCCAGCAGCTGCACCCCAGGGCCCATCCTCAAATCCCAGCACCCCCCAGGGAAGAGGGACAGTGAAAGGGGGTCCCTCAACAACCCCCCTCCCACAACCCCAGGTCACTCACAGCGACACCCTCACGGCCTGGCCTGGCCCCACACAGCAGTTGCCTCCCCTCCCCACCCTGCTGCTCCCCCCAGCACACACAGAGTCAGGGTCTCCCCACCATCTTTTTATCGGGGGCTCAGGTGCAGGGGGGGCTCAGCAGGGCCCCAGGGGGTCCCACAGCCCCCCTCAGTGGGGCAGCTCGTGGGGGATCAGTTTGTAGTGGGCCCCACAGGAGGGGCAGCGCTGGGCCTCACCCTGGTGCAGCCAGAACCAAACCACGCAGCTGTTGTCCTCCTCACCTGGGGACAAGGACAGAGTGGGACAGGGCATGGACACAGGGACAGGAATGGGGCCCGGGAACAGAGACAGAAACATGGGAACAGGGTGTGGACACAGGGACAGGACAGATACATGGACATGGGAACAAGAATGGACACGTGGACACAGGGACAGGATGGACACACAGACCAGAGGGACACACAGACAGCAGGGTCACTCACTCACAGACACAGGGACAGGATCCCTCACAGACACACAGACAGGACAGACAGACAGGGTCACTCACAGACACACGGACAGGACAGACACACGGACAGGGTCACTCACAGACACAGCCCACGATGCGTTTGTTGGTGATGGAGGGCACGAGGTTTGGGTCCTCCTTGGTGCCCGCGTAGCGTTTGGGCCGGAACATGCTGTAGGGGTCCTGGGGGGTAGGGGGGTCAGGAGGGCACCCGTGGGACAGGCACCCCCCCAGGGACACCCTGACACCCCCCAGACTCACCACCCTCACCCCCCGACCCTGAGACCCCCCCCAAAACTCACCACCCCCACCACCTGGGGTTCCCCAGCTCCCTATTCCCAAGAATCCCCCAGCTCTGAGACCCTCAGACCCCCCCGAGACCTCCCCCAACCACACACCTTGTCCCCACTAAAAACACCAAACTCCCCCAGACGCCCCCTCACACCCCCTGAGCCCCGCCTCCCGTATTCATCGGACCCTGAGACCACCCCAGACCCTCCTTCGCCACCCCTGAGCCCCCTAGAACCGCCTGAGACCCCCAAACGCCCCCAAAACATCCC